GGCGCATGCTCTCGCCAGACAGAGAGAGACAGAGAGACAGAAAGTGAGAAATCACCCCCCGGGGGGATGGTCACGCCGCAATCCCTTCTCCTCCCATTCTCCTCTCGGGATCTTGGGCACGCACGCACCCAGCGTGAGTTTTAAGCCACCGGGTCCGGGATGCGAACCGCAGTCGACTACGTGGGAGTCCAGCGACATAGCCATTACGCTAACTGCTGGTTCCCTACATCAGGCTTTTGTGAGTTTGGTCGGTCACAGACTACAGCCCTCAGGGAGCCTGCCTCCTGAGCTTGTTAGCAAATGAAGACACCCACTCCTGCCACGGCCTCTTGGGCAGCCCCTTGGCTCTCTCCATCTGTACCCCGACACGGCTCTCACAGAACTTGGTCTTCAACAGCCTCCTCGTCCCTCTCCTTTAGGCCACTCAACTTGGAGGACTTCGAGGGAATCTTTCTATAGTAACTAGGCACACAGGTGCACCGCGATGTGAGACAGCTACTCTCACTTCCTAAAGCCAAAGACCATGGGCTGTGGCTCAACTCCTGACAGTCACAGACAGCTGTGTGACCTTGGTATCTCACATGACCCCTGAGCCCCCACTGTCTCAGCTTCACGTGGGGCTCAGGGCTGCCTTAGATGGGAAGGTTCACATGAGTGCTCATCTCAGCGGACAGTAAAGGGGCTGTCACTGCCACGTCTCCTCTGCCTGCCTGCGGTCTCCCCAGGGCAGGGCAGCGCCCGAGCTACCTGTGTCCCAGGGTCTCACTTGGCAAACGACCCATCACAGAGTTGGTGCTTAGCAGCCACGGCCAACTGCCACAGTGCCACCAACTTCCATCCCCTGTCCATCCCCTTCGTGCCCAGGGGCCAGCACTTCCAGCGGGAGAGGTGGGGTCCTGTTCCTTTCCTTCAGTTCCACACGGAGATGCAGCAGCTGTGGGAATTTCTCAAGGGACCGCGGTTTGTCACCCAGAGTCAGCCTCCCTGGTTCCAGCCTAAGCTGCCAGCAGGAGTCCATGTCATTGCCACAAGCGAAGCCGCCTCCCGGGGCAGAACCCCTTCTGAGATAGCGAGCTGGGCAGGCCTCAGTCCCCCGCCAGGGAGTCTGGCAGCTGTGTCCCGCCGCCCTGGTCCAGGCCAAAGTCACCCATCGTGCCTGCTGGAACCAGGCAGAGAATCGGCAGGCCCTGTGCACACACTAGAAGCCACATTGGTAAGAGACGTTTGTCTCTTGCTAGAAGGTGCGTGTGCTCACCAGAGACAGGGAGCAGGAGAGGGCACTGCAGCGGGCTGTGGCCGCGCCGCAGTCCCTCTCCGGCTCCCCTAGCTGGGCCTCTGGGATGCACGTGTACACACGCAGGGGCCTGTGGGACCCGAGCCTCCAGGGCTGGGACTCCACTGAGCGCCCAGCTCCCCCAACCACCAGACCCCAGAAGGTCATCCCCCTCTGTCTCCGGTGGCCCATCTTCCGTATCCAGCTCAGCTCTTCCTAAACTCAGGCAGAGATAAACCGAGGGACTGCCAGGGTCCTGAAACACCACGCCTTCGGTGTCCTGGGCTTGATGGGCATAAGTGCCCTCTCACCCTCCGCTCCTTCTGACGGCCACGCCTGACCAGCTGTCTCCCAACGACACCGCCCGCCAGGGAGGAGGCTCAGGAAACACTCGTGGCTCCGGGCTCATCCTTATTTACTGAGTCAAAACCGCAAACGCTGTTCGGGGATGTGAGCCCCCAGTAACGCTCTCCCTAAAGGGGGCCTCAGCCTCCACCCAGCTGGAAAGTGTCCAGCCAGGACGCTCTGCTCTGTGACTCGCAGACACTAGAGACCCAAGAGGCGGAAGTCAGTTCTCAGGGCAGGGCCGGAGCGGGATGGCCGGAAGAGAAGAGAGCAGTGTGAGGGAGGGCGCGCCGGCTTCATAAATGACTCAACGAGGCCCGAACGTTTTCAGAGAGGGAGGACGAGGCTGGGCACGAGGGGTCTAGTGGGAAGGAGAGCGAGGGCCAGAGTGGGTGAGCAGCTGCCTCCTCTGACAACGGCCAGGCTCCCAGGGCTCTAAGCCTGGGAGCACTGGGACTAGGGCCCTGGGGCCAGGCAATGCTGCAGGTACCCTGAGCAGCGGGTGGGCCGGAGAGCTACGGCTGGTCCCCGGGCTGGTACTGTGGCTCTGTGGACGTGAAGTAGTCCTCCAGAAAGGACTGCAGGTACTCGAAGGTCGGCCGCTCCTCGGGCTCCAGGCGCCAGGTCTGCTCCATGGCCTCGTACAGGGACGCTGGGCAGCCCGGGGGGCAGGGCATGTGGTAGCCAAGCTCCACCTGCTCCAGCACCTCCCGGTTGTTCATGCCTGGGGAGAGTGCCGTCAGCTGGGCAGGTCCCCAGGGACAACCAGGAGGGAGCCCGGCCTGCACCACCCATGCTGCCCCCGCGCACCTGGGTAGGGCACCCGGCCCCTGCTGACCAGCTCCGTGAGCAGGACACCGAAGGACCACACGTCCGACTTGACGGTGAACCGGCCCCAGAGAGCAGCCTCGGGGGCTGTCCACTTGATGGGGAACTTGGCCCCTGGTGGGGTGGAGAAGGGGAGGGCTGTGAGGGGTCCCCAGAACAGTGGGGTTCAGAGAACGGGCACTTCGGAGTTGAGGATCTGGGGGTCCCCTGGGCACAGCTGAAAGGGCCTGGCGTCAGTAGCTCCCACTGTGCGCAGTACAGTGCCAGAGGCCAAGCACAAAACCTGACCTTGACTAGCTTGCGCTGGGAGCCCTCCCTGCTGCCAGGGACTGCTGTGCACTAGCTGTCTACCCTGCCAGCCCTGCAGATACCACCGTGCTCAGGCAGAGGCTGAAGGCCACACGGGTCACCAGCCTCCAGCAGCAGTCATGGAGTGCCTGAGCACACCACGCGATTTCTCACTTTACAGACCAGCACGGTCGGGGCAGGGCTTCCCCGAGGCCACGTGGCTGGGAAGTGGCTGGGCTGGGATTTGACCCCATGAGTGCCTCTTCTGCAGGACAGGGTGCTCCTGCCGTCTAGGTGTGGAGGATCCCGCATGTGCCCGCAGCAGCCCTCGGTGCATGGGCGCTTGGGTGCTGGCACGTGGGTGGCACCTTGCCGGGGGTTGTACTCGTCGTCCTCGATGAGACGTGCCAGCCCGAAGTCCGCCACCTTGCATGCCAGTCGCTCGCCCACCAGGATGTTGGCTGCCCGCAGGTCGCGGTGGATGTAGTTCATGCGTTCCATGTAGGCCATGCCCTCGGCCACCTGGCGGGTGAGAGGCAGGGATGGAGGACACAGACTTGCAACGCCAGGGCCTGCGAGGCGTCAGGAACCTTTTGAAAGGTCCTAGGCTCCTGGGCTCAGAGAGGCTGTGCCCTCACGGGGGACACTGGGATCCAGGGCCCGCCCACCTCAGGTGTGCTCAGCAACTGGAGGGGTTCACAGCCAAGAGGTCTGGGCGACAAAGCTGCCGCCCCAGCTCACCTGGGCTGCCATGTCCACCAGCTGGGGCAGGCCCAAGTCCTGGCCCGCCTGGTCCTTGAGGAACTCCAACAAGCTACCTGGGAAGGTGAGGCCAGAAGGTCGGAGAGACCCACCCAGCTCCCGGCCGCCACATGCGCATGCGCACACTGGGGTTCCCGCCAGGACCCCGTCCACCTGGCGCAGCCACCTCAGGCCCCGCCCACTCGGCGGCCCACACACACCAGGGGCCGCCCTGCCCCTGCCCTGCGCCCACCAGGAACCCAGCAACTCTGCAGGGCCAGTCCTATGCCCCAACCCACCGCCCCAGGCCCTGCTCCCAGACACCAGCGCTTCCCCACCCTTTCTCCAGCGGCTCCCCCAGGCCCTCCCCCTCGGAGGCTCCCACGCCCCTGCCGCACTCCACACTCTCCTCACGCTCCAGCGAGGGCCACGCCTGGGGGAACCC